AGCAAGAAGACTCGATACGGCCGTACACGACGCGAGTACCTGGTCTTCTGGAAGGGCTACGCCGAGCCGTCGTGGGTCGATGAAACTAATCTCAACTGCGGAGCGTTGCTAAGAGACTTCGACCGGGGAGGGACAGATCGCAACCGGTTCGAGGCGATGCAGTCACATGAGGATTAAGCGGTGGAAAATCTGCGGTCGGCTGGCCACTCTGGAGAAGCGAGAGGAAGAAGGATCTGCAGGAAGGCTGTAGATTTCAAGGAGGAGATGGTGCATATGGAGTGCCGTGGGCCTGAATAGGTCAGAAACCCTAGGCAACACACCCTCGCAAATTCCGAAAGAACAGAAGAAGATACGGATGGATTAAGTCGAGCCAGATCGGACCAGGTCTTCTGAACGACCTACAAGTTGCTACCGAACACATAACGGCAGGATGTAATTAGGAAGAGGATGACACGAACTTGCCAGGGGCAAGCGAGCGATCCCAAGCGCCGGGTGGTCCCCTGGTGCGTCACGATAGTGATTGCGCCAGCGATCGGCAGTGTCCGTGATAGCCAACACCTCCAGTAGATCGGCAGGATCAGCTCCGTCTTTAACGCCAGGATAACAAGCACCCGCCTCGTCGGGCCGAGGGAACTGCAGGAAGAAGGGATCCAGCAACAGGTCACAGTAACCCCGGAGCAAACCGATCAGCACCTGTTGGAGGAACGGTTTCCACCGGGCGCCGGTTCTGGACCGACGCTGCTTGCGATCAGTGTAGAACGCTTCCAAGTACTGACTGGCCCTCGTATTTGGCGATGCTCACCGGAAATGCGTGAATGGAATCCCAATAAGCCCGAAGATGCTCATCCTCGTAGGACGCGTAGATTCGCATCATGTGTCGGAACCAACCTCGTCCTTGGAACGTGAGAGGATCGATCTTGGCAGCAAGGATCTCCCACGGAGAGGACTCGATCAAGTTGCGTACGTTACTCTCGTCCACTAGATCGTCTCGCCACTATCCAAGCGGAGGCGCGGGATCGCGGAGAGCGATTAGCCATTCCATCGGCTTGGCAAAATGATGGAACAACAGATCCGCGTTCATCTTCACGATGCTTGTCTGTCGAATATCCTGCGCAGACCAAGGGACGATATCATGACTGCGGAAGCTACGACGGTCACGATAACCGGGGATCCACTCCGATCGGGGAACCGTGGTAGGCGGTAGATCCGCCAGCTCAGCATCCAATAGAGGGTTAGATGGCATTCCAAACTGGTCCCGGACACGACTCAACTCCGGAGAACCACTGTCGTTTCCTGCGGCGTCCGAATCAAATACGCGAGTAGAACTGGATTTGCCGGAGGAACTCTCGCCGCCGTCGGAGAGCACGCCCTACTCGGATTCTGCAGAAAGGGACGAGGCACCTCCGCTACATCCTGTGTGGTAGATCGAGTAGATCGAGGAGGAGGATCAGGAAGGCCAGCGAACAAAGGGGGCGACACCGGCTCCTCAGCCTTCTGGTCGGCAGCTACGGCAGACAACACCTCGATCGAGGACCTAGATGCAGGACCCTCACTCAAAGCACTAGTCGAGAAGGGACCTGGAGTTGATCGAGCAGCCTTGGAGACGCGAGCAGGCGGAGCTGGAGAATCGGGCTCAGAGCGCGTTCGTTTATGACCCAGGGTTGAAGGGAGTAGGGACGCGAAGTTCGACAACCTCTCCTGCGCCTGGTCCCGTTCGGCCCGTAGATCAGTGACCTCCGTGAAACGCCAAGCTGGCCGAACAACTCATCTCTTTGGACTGCCAGACTGTCTCTCTCTTGTCGAAGTGCTGCGAGCGCGATCTCGAGGTCTTTACGCGCCTTCTGAGACTCCTCGACCTGGTTAACCAGGCGATAGTATCCCGAGCCGATCCGCTGTGACACAGGACATGAATTAGTACGAATCCGACAAGGGAAGGCAGATAATACTCACGGGTGGCGTTACGCTCTATCCTGGCCTGATCACGCTGGGAAGTCGCCGTGCGGATGCGCTGGGAACCATGCTGAAGGTCCTGAGTTAGTGTCAATACCCGATCCCGCAAACGAACAAGCTCAACGGAACGTGCGGTGATCGTGATCGTATTGCCGACAACCTTCAAGCGACGCTCATAGCTTTCACGCAACGTACGGATGCGACAAGTCTTACGCTCGATCGTGGCCTCAAGGCGATCTACTTCTGCTTGAGCAGCCTGTTGGGACGCAGCCGATTCACGGAGCTCCGAAGCGAGAGAAGACTGGCTGTAACGGGGTTACACGCAAGTGGCTACATGTAGCCACTTGATTACGACAATGGGTTTCACATTGGTGTGAGATACACCAATGGTTACATTTGACAGACC